TAAGTAATTCAAATGAGAACGAATTATAATAAGAAATTGAATGAAATTAGTGATAAATTGATTTCTGAATAATTCTTATGTGTTGATAAACCTAAATAATCAAATTAAATAAAGAAAATTTCCATTTAAACAATAGATGATGAATAATTAATTAAAGATTTAAAATAATTAATAGAAAAAGAAAAAGAGACAGTATCACTTAATTAAACAATTATCAATGAAAAAAATAAAGATTCAATCTTCTATAAAGAGATTTAATTTCATTTAGAATCTTTAAAATAATATGATTAATAAGATATTTCATAATCATTAGACATTCTCAAAGGTATCTCAGGTATTAATTTGGTTTAATTTTTATAGTTGAAAGAAAATTAATTCTTTAGTTAACTGAAACAATTTAATAAATTTAAAAGAGTGGGTAAAATGATGAAAATCAGAAAAATTAAGTTAATTTTATAAAGGAGATTCAAGAATTCATTCATTAAGCAATGAATTATCAATTACTTTCAAATGTATTCAATTAGACTATTTCAAATTACTAATAAAATGTTCAAATAATATAATAGATTTCATAACATATTGAATTAATATCAAAAGATAATAATAAATCAAATATATCAGAATAGATTAAGTCTTAATATTTAAATTTAACTAATATTTTGAATGAATACTCAAATATATTTGAAAATAATAATTCACAATTGAAAAAGTATTGTAATATTCAATTAATGGAATAAGAATTAATCAAATTAACAGAAACTAATAAATAAATACAAATTGAAAGTAATTTTATTATTATGATAAATAGAAAACAATCAAATCGATTCATTGTAATAGTAATATGAATAGAAAATCATTCAAATAAATGAAACATTAGAATCTAAGGAGAAAGAATATTAAACTATTAAACAATAATTTGATCAAGTTAATTCAGAAAATATCAATTTGAAATAATAATATGAATAAGATAAGAAGCAAATGATTAAATAATCAGAAGATGAATGTATTTAATTCTAATATTATCTATAGAAAATAAGATCAAATCAGATTATAATAAAAGAATCAAATAAAAGGATTCAGAACTAAAAGATGCATTATAGAAACTTGATTAAATTCATAAAGATAAGTTAGAATAAGAGAAAATTAACAAAATGGAATTAGATAAAGTAAATTTCCTTTCATTCTATTCTTTTTAGATTCAACAGTATAATAAAACATTAACATTTTCAAATACTTATACATAGTGAGTGTTAAATAAGTGAAGCAGGCAAACTTGTTACTAATGTTGGAAATTCATATTATTATTTTTGTGTTTGTGAGTAAGCAATTCCAAAAACTGGGAAAATACAATTTACATTCTAAATACTTACTGGATCAGAATGGTTTGTTGGAATAGGATTTAGAGATATAATGCAAAAAAATAATTTTTACGATTGTCATCATGATGGGTATGGGTATAATAATAATAAATCATAATAGAACATATTTAATCTATTATGATGGTCGAAGTTGGTCTCATCATAACAAAGATGTACATGATAAAAAATTATCATTTAAATTTACAAATAATGATATAATAAGAATGGAAGTAAGTATTGAAGATAAATACATTAAATGGAGTAGATAGAATAATCCACAAGCGACAGCAACATTTGTTGTAACTATGAAATTGATTATTAGTAGTTGGCAATAGATACATCATAAGAATTATATCCATGTGTTGGTCTTCATTAAAAAGCTTAAATAAAAATATTAGATTGCGCTATCGTTTGATATTTAAGAATATTATTAAGTAATTTATGGGTTTTTCATAATAAATAAATTAATATTAAAGTATTCTATTATTTAAAATCATGATCATTTCCATTAAGGCCAAAATAAATTAAAAGCGAAACCTAAATTCAATATTACAAAAATTTGATGATTAAGAATTCTTTGAAATAAAACCCCTTAAAACATGACATTGATATTAGACTATTATTGAAGATTTTATTATTTTGTGTGTGTGTGGAACCAAAAAGTTTATCGAATATTATTCTATGAGGACTCTTAAATATTTGGATTTTAAATATAATTTAAATATCAATAAAGAAAATAGTAAGGTTCAGTCTTCCGTTAAAAAGCAAAATTAAAAGATACTATTCTTTCTATTATGAATATATATTGCAATTCTTTTTATAAAATTGCAAATATATTTTGGTTAATTAATGAATAATTTCTAATTTAATTAAGCGACATATTTCGCAAGTACCCTTGTTATTTTATCTAAATCTTGTTGTGATCATAAGTTACATATATCTCCATTTATTGATATGAGTGTGGTATCACTGCAATTTTCATAT